ACATTTCATAATCTTCATGACACCAAACAAGTTTCAGTGTCTTCTTCTTGACATATACAGTAACTCTGAATACTTGTGTTATCCAGCATATCCTCCCCTTTGATATAGGCTAGTTTTGACCACGGATAATCAGAGGAGCCTTCCTCCTCCTCACTTGCAATCATTGCTGCGCCTCTCTCTGATGAGCAATTTTAAGTATCTTTGGGAGAGACATTTCCCCAAGTCTTCCATGTCTTCCTTCCTAGTTGCACCTTATTAAATATGTGTGTGTATCCACAAATGCTCATCATCGGAGCTTTTTCACCATTGCTGGCAATGGGGTGGGCGCGTCTCCGGTATGATGAAATCGGTCCGTGGGCCGGCAGTTTGACACCCCTGCTTTAAATGATGGTATTGTAATGATTTATATTTAATATCTGAAGAGTCTTTTTGTTATGAGTCTAAATTTAAATTGCCCTCAGCGTTAAATAAATATGGCCTGACCATCTGTGGCAAATGATACAAAAAGTTATATACTGTATCTTGCTTGAGTGTTCACATGTGCATTTTAATGCAAGTGTACAACACAGGAGATGCATTCACTTCCTTTCAGACACTTAAATAAAAGAAATGGATTGATGCTAGAAACACACACATTTTTAAAATTTGTTGCTAAAAACTTCAGTATTAGTCAAAATATGAAACAACATTCAGACTGATCCAGATTCAAACTGCATCATCCTATCTTATTCACATCTTACTTCTCTCTCTCTCTCTCTCTCTCTCTCTCTCTCTCTCTCTCTCTCTCTTTCTTTCTCTCATTCTCTTTCTTTTTTCTTCCTTCCTTCCTTCCTTACTAACTAATTAATTAACTAACTACAGGTAGTCCTCGACTTACAACAGTTCATTTAGTGACTGTTCGAAGTTACAATGGTACTGAAAAAAGTGACTTATAACCATTTTTCACACTTATGACCGTTGCAGCATCCCCCTGGTCACATGATTTATATTTGGATGCTTGACAACTGACTCACATTTATGACGGTTGCAGTATCCCGGGGTCATATGATCATCTTTTGCAACCTTCTGACAAGCAAAGTGAATGTGGAAACCATATTCACTTAATCATGTTACTAATTTAACAACTGCAGTGACTCACTTAACAAATGTGGCAAGAAAATTCATAAGATGGGGCAAAACGTACTCAATTTCTCACTTAGCAACATAAGTGGTCATAAGTTGAGGACTACCTGTAACTAACTAACTAACTAAAAAGATTGCTTGTAATGAACTCTGTAGTGCAAGCGAAGTAAACACTAATTTCAAAATAGGACTGGGTTTAGAATTAAGGTTTAGGTTAGCAAAAATAATATAGAGTTATCCCTATTCATATATAAAAGGAGGGAGGGAGGGAGGGAGGGAGGGAGGGAGGAAGGAAGGAAGGAAGGAAGGAAGGAAGGAAGGAAAAGAAAGAAGACAACATCAAGAGTTAGCCTTCTTCAAAGGTCTCCAGAAGGGCCATAAAAAGAATAAAAAAAGATGATGAAATTCCTCAGTTATGATATTATTACAGATATGGTCTATTATATATATTTACAAATCTTAAGGTCTGTTGGGGAAGTATGTATCAGTTGTGAAATGGAAAATTCAAATGGAGGCTAATAGTCTTCTTCAAATATTTAACAAATTGAAATAAAAATTAGTGACTTGAATTTAAGATAAGATAATAAAAAACTAGATTGACTTCCACCATACAAGCAGTGCAAAACAAAAATATGGGTGCCCCATTTAGGATCAGGTACATCATGTCTGATATATTGGGAGTAAATTCACCCCCAGTCTTTAAATTTATATTTTATGAAAAACTGCAAAACCATCCAATAGTGATACAAAAGAAAAAAAAAAGATGCCAAGACCCTAGAAAGTGTGCAAAGAAGAACAGCAAAGACGATAAGGAGTTTGGAGGCTAAAGTATATGATGAATAGTTACAGGAACCAAGTATGTCTATGCCTATCAAAGAGAAGGATTAGGGTTGACGGAATAGTTGCCTTCCAGCACTTGAAGGGCTGTCATACAAGGGAAGGGGCCACCCTATTCTCCGAAGCACCTGAAGGCAGGACAGTAACCGATGGAAGCTTAACAAAGAGAGATCCAGCCTAGAATTAAGGAGAAATTTTTGGTCAGTGGTAATAATTACTCAGGGGAATGGCTTGTCTCCAGAAGTTTTGGATACTCCATCCCTGGTGGTTTTTAAGAAGAGATTGGACAGCCATTTGTCTGGAATGGTATAAAGACTTCTGCCTGAGCAGAGAGGGTTGGACTAGAAGACCTCCAAGGTCCCTTCCAGCTCTATGATTCTATCCTGGTCATTTATGTAACCCTGACCAACAATCTAGAGATCTAAATTAAGTTTCACTGTATTCCCTTGCAGCATCAGCAGGCCAATACTACCACCTGGTGGCTAAAGATGTAATGTGGATGCAATAAAATATAATAATAATAATAATAATAATAATAATAATAATAATAATAATAATAATAATAATAATAATAATAATAATAATAATAATAGTAGTAGTAGTAGTAGTAGTAGTAAAGTAGTAAAGTTGGAAGGGACCTTGGAGGTCATCTAGTCCAACCCCCTGCTCGGGCAGGAAACCCTACACCATTTCGGACAAATGGCTGTCCAGTCTCTTCTTAAAAACTTCCAGTGTTGGAGCATTTACTGCTTCTGGAGGCAAGGCTGTTCCACTGATTAATTGTTCTCACTGTCAGGAAGTTTCTCCTTAGTTCTAGGTTGCTTCTCTCCTTGATTAGTTTCCACCCGTTGCTTCTTGTCCTGCCTTCAGGTGCTTTGGAAAATAGCTTAATTCCCTCTTCTTTATGGCAGCCCCTGAGATATTGGAATACTGCTATCATGTCCCCCCTTGTCCTTCTCTTCGTTAAACTAGACATACCCAATTCTCGCAACCGTTCCTTATATGTTTTAGCCTCCAGTCCCCTAATCATCTTTGTTGCTCTTCTCTGTACTCTTTCTAGAGTCTCAACATATTTTTTACATCGTGGTGACAAAAACTGGATGCAGTATTCCAAGTGTGGCCTTACCAAGGCATTGAAGAGTGGTATTAATACTTCGCGTGATCTTGATTCTATCCCTCTGTTAATGCAGCCTAGTACTGTGGTGGCCTTTTTGGCAGCTGCCGCACACTGCTGGCTCATATTTAACTGATTGTCTACTAGGACTCCGAGGTCCCTCTCACAGTTACTACTATTGAGCATGGTGCCACCTATGCTGTACTTGTGCATTTGGTTTTTCTTGCCTAAATGTAGAACCTTGCTTTTTTCACCATTGAATTTCATTTTGTTAGTTAGTGCCCAGTGTTCAAGTCTGTCCAGATCCTTCTGTACCTGAAGCCTGTCTTCTGGAGTGGAGTGTTGGCTATTCCTGCCAGCTTGGTGTCATCTGCAAATTTGATGAGTTCCCCATCTATCCCCTCATCCAAATCATTGATGAAGATGTTGAAGAGCACTGGGCCCAGAACAGAGCCCTGGGGCACCCCACTACACACTTCCCTCCATATAGATGCAGTTCCATTGAGGACCACTCGCTGAGTACGGCCGGTCAGCCAGCTACGGATCCATCTGGTGGTGGTTCTGTCTACCCCACATTTTTCTATCCTATCAAGTAGTAGGGTTGTGATCTACTTTGTCAAATGCCTTACTGAAGTCCAAGTAAATTATGGAAAAGTCTGTAGTGCTGGGAAAGGGGGAAGGACAACCAGGAACAAGGTGGATGGACTCACTCACAGTGGCAATGAATGCACCGTTGGTCGATCTGAAATTAGGTTAGGGTAGGAAAACAAGTTATTGTAGAGAAATCTAGGCCAGTTGCTAAGAGTTGTCAAAAACTTGTTGTATACAATAATCAGTCCATCGTGGACTTTGATAATATAACTATTCCTTTCAAGTATTTTTCCTTTCAAAATAACATTTCAAACATTTTGAGTTATCGCTTACTCAGAGACTTATTTGTATATTGCATTTTAAGAAAAACTACCTTCTAACTGGAATTCTCAGGGAAGATTACAAAACAATTAAAAATGCAAAACAGTAAAAGCGTAAAAGCAATAAATCAGTAAAAAGAGTAAATGAGGTAAATACTACAGGGAAAAATGGATATATATATATATATATATATATATATATATATATCAACGGGATCCTTAAAAACGAAACAATAAAAAGGAGTAAAGACAGTGAAATTCTTTGAAAGAAGAGGAATTTCTCATTCAGGAAGTATTCTCCAAATATCCTTTGGAATCATCTGGCCATTTCATTAGTGGAAGTGTTTCAAGATGAGCAAGACGGGAACGTACAGTATTGGAGAGCCCATCTTTACATTTCTCTGATTTTAAATAGTTCACAGGTCAATCCCCACTCTCTGAATTAGGTTCTAAAATGGACCAGTGGTCAGTCCAGCTAATATTACATTATGTCAGACTTATCACGTAGACCAGGCAGAAACATGAGCAGATAAACTAATTCTACTTTGATGTAACACTACATTAGCAGAATCTTGCAAGTCTGAAAATAAAATTCTCCTCCCATTCCCTTTCACAGCTCAAGAACTTGGGGAGGGCACCTCCTGGGCTGCTTTTTCCACCCATCAGGCCATTGCAGGCTATGCTGTCTCTCATCTGACTGATAGCCCAGGCAGCATCTCTCTGTCCTGTGTGTCCCAAGGCCATTACGCATTATCCCTTCATCCAGCCCCAGCTGGAAATGTAGCGGATCTAATTTAGGCTAGCTGAATGGTTTCTGAACCATCTTCAAAGATAACGTCCAACTGTACTATTCCAGTGAAGAGTTCATAAGAGTTTATAAGTCTCTTGTAAAATTAAGGATTCAGAAATATCCCCAAACTGTACACCTAAGCCTTCAAAGAGTTGCAGCTCCTTCCAGAACAGATGAACACCTCTCATCAGGTAGATAACTCACTCACACCAATGGAAATGCTTACCTTGCTGGACCTGGGCTTAAGCTTATTGGTCTTCACGGTTTTACACTGCACTGTTCAGGCAGGTATTATAGGTACCATTTGTGTGCCGTAAGATCCCAACACAATTCTCTGAGTGATCTCATCATCGTCATCACAATCATCATCATCACCATCATCATCATCATTATCTTCACTGTTGGACAACTTCTCACAGCAGTTTCATATAGAAATTAAACACTATGGAAGATAAAACTGAATTCTGAAAGATCCTAACCTGTAATATAACTACCATGGAAGAAATAATAATAATAATAACAACAACAATAACAATCATCATCATCACCCAGGAACTTTTATTTATTTGGCCAGCTGACTCCTAAACAATTCTGGGCAGCTTAGAACTGAAAACCAATCTCTCTTTGTGTCTTCCTCCCTCCCTCCCTCCCTCCCTCCCTCCCTCCCTCCCTCCCTCCCTTTCATTGGAAAAGCAAAAGGCCAAAACAAAACCAAAGTAGATAATATTTTCCAATCAGCCCATGTGAAATTGTTATGAAAAATTATCTTGCACTTTCTTAAGGATTTGCCACTATGTCTTGTGGAACGTGTCACTAAGTAAAACACCAAAGAAAAGTAGATAGCGTAGATCTTTGGGGGCAGCAGACACTACCTATGAAATTTGAATGGCCTATTATGCTACAGCCCTGCCCCTCCTGTGGTGGATGCCCATAAAGAGTAGTATTGTCATTCACCTTTCGGGAAACTCTCTTGGTTGTTCTTCAGGGATGTGCAATCCCATTTAGAGTTGACTGACTGCATAAGAATTATGGTGTTTTTTTTAAAAAAACAAAAAGACAAAACACCAGACTTGATCCAGTTAAAAAGAGGCTTCCCAGCATCAAGAACATCTATTGCTTTGCTTTTAACCATGGAAAGATGTTAGATGTTCCAGGTTATATCCACACCTCTGCATTCACTCACTTGAGATGCTAAAAAGGAACATGAGTTGGGAGGGCAGCAGATTATAGGGATTGAAAGACTTGTGAACATTCTAGGACCTCCTACGTACCTCAGATTTGCATCTCTGACTCTATTTAGTAATAGTAGTAGTAAAGTTGGAAGGGATCTTGGAGGTCATCTAGTCCAACCCCCTGCTCAGGCAAGAAACCCTACACCATTTCGGACAAATGGCTGTCCAGTCTCTTCTTAAAAACTTCCAGTGTTGGAGCATTTACTGCTTCTGGAGGCAGGCTGTTCCACTGATTAATTGTTCTACTTATCATTTAATTTCTACTTATCATTTACATTAATTAGGTATCCAACTCTTGGTCTGTCTTGGCTTGTTCATTGTTTTTCATTCCTATGTAGCATTTATGCAGCAGTTGGTATTAATACTATCAATTAGTTTCTCTGAACCAAAACATGTTGTTTACCTGAATATTTTGTCTCAATAGAAACAAATCAGGTATGCTCAGCATGTCAATTTGTAAAGTACACTGCAAAATATTATTAATTTCCCCTGATTCCTCATTCATATCCATGGAACACTCATCTCTCCAATAATAGCAACTCTTTGTTCATATTGTCTCTTTTAGGTGTTCCATATCTGGGCTTCAAAAATCAGGCAATCATTAAATAGCAATAAACTTTCTGAGCCTTTGCAAACTGCGTCTTCCCCTCAGGCACTTCATTCAGTTCTTGGAGCTCCAGAGTGGATATGTGGGTGCTGAGATCCTTATTTGGAGGCCTTTGGTTTGGTCTTTTCTGATTTGATTTAATAGATTGGATATGTTTTTATTTTGTTGGTGTTGCTGATCACTCTCCAGAATTTCACTAGATAGATAGGCAGCCATACAGATTTGATAAACGAATAAGGAAAATAAAGAAAACCATGTAGTGGTAGTCCAGACGGTTGGAGGCCATATATGGTAGCCCTGGTCCCTTTAATCCCAACAGCATATTGTTTATTCAGAACAGACTCTTAAAAGACTTTGAAGTTTATTTAGAAACAAATTATTCTGTAACTGACTAAGTGCACAATACCTTCCCCCAATATTACTTTTACCAGGGAAAATTAATAATGGAATCAGGGAGAGTGGTTTAGATTAAGAAAATTGTATAAGGACTTCCGGTTTTGTGCCATGGCGCATGGAGGGATTGGTTTTGCCCTACCAGGGGACCCTAAATGGGTCTAAAGTCGCCCCGGAGAGGTGAAAAAGAAGGAGCCCCCCATGGATCACAGTAAGATGGAGGTCAATCCATTTGATCCAGGGAAAGCCCTCCAACCTGACAGGAGAAAGGCTAGCTGCACACCAGTGACTAGCCCAAACTACCAGCGGCTGAAGTCCAAAAGCACTAACTAGAACAATTGTGAACAGCATGCTTGGAACTGTGTGAGAATATCGATCTTCTCTCTTCTATTTTGTAACTGATTTCCTGGAAAAGATCCCCAAGAAGCAAAAAAATCCTCTAAAAGTGAGAAGGAAGGGGACCATACCCTCACTCTTCCGTAGACAGAAGCGGCAACTTAATTTTTATGAGGGACAAAAATATATTGAAATGAACTTAATAATACTACAGTCTGGATAAATCTGAAAATCATGAAAACTGTTAAGACTTTACATCTGAAAGAATATTGATGAAAATACAAGAAAATAACTTTTTGCTTTAAAAGTTGAAAAATGAATGCCTACTGACATCTAGTGGAGAATTAGAGCATAAAGCAACAGTTGCAGGACTCAGAAATAGGCAAGATGCCCAGAAATAAAGAACAACTTGTTCCTTTGAACCTCAGTGGCTTCTCGCCAAATAGAGAACAGCTGGAACAGAGGAAAGAAAACACACTGGGCTACCTACAACAGAATGAGAACTATATTTGTTTTAAAAACTGCTGACCATCTAGGATTATAAATACTTACTGAGCTGTGATTTCTAAGCTCAAGAATTGTTTGCAGAGAAAGAAAAACCTTGACTTTTGGCTAATCTTCTAGGGGGAAATTTACTGGAAAGCTCCTAGGTAGTTAAACATTCTGGACTCTAAATCTGACTGGCTGATAATTGTAAGACCCCTGAATAGAAGTACTATTATAAAATATTGCTTTTAACGGTGCTTTGATAATTGGAAATGCATTGGATTATAAAAACCATATATAAAGATAAGAACTATATAAGATTTGGCTGGTTTGAAAGGCTAATTACAGAACTATGGTACCAGTGAAAGACTATCTGGAGGGGGGGGAGACAAAATGGATGTTACATACCTATCAAAAAGTGGCAGGAAACGACACCTAATATCTCCTTCTGAAGGCCCTAGCCTGGAATATCAAAGATCTGCAGGAGCAATACTTCAAGACAAGACAAATATTTTCCAAGAGAAAATTTATGCAATGCTGTGACAGATTCAAATGATAATGGTTTCAAATCATGAGGAGATTAAAAACAACTTTGACAACATAAATGAACACATCTTTAAACCTACAATTTAAAAACTCTCAGAAAATGATGACAAAGAATGAACAAACAAACCAGATAACAGAATACAAACTAGAGGACAGGGACCAAAAAAGGGAAGCTACAAATGAAGATAATTACAGTCTAATACAAACAAAAGAAAACTTGCAAGATTTTCTCACAACAATGGAAATGGAAAAGATATCTTATTTTTTGGAACTTCAAAATAAACTTGAAGATAGGAAAGAAGATCTAATAAAATGAATTATAGAGCAGCCAGGAGAATTATTAGAGCTTGGGAGACAAAAAACACACATTCTACCTAACTTGTATTTTCTATTCACAAAAATACAGGAAGAATCCCCTGGCAAGCTGAATACACTGACTTGGAAAACTACTTTGCAAAAGAAGAAGGCTAGAATTAGACTCAAGAGATTTGATTTGACCTATCAGATGGAGTATTATATGATTAAACACTTATTTGAATATGGTTAAAAGGCTAGATAAATCACAGATATAAAGGGGCCCTACAGAAAGAGGGATAAGCTATATAAGTAGTATAGTATTCTTTATAATACATGAAATATAAAAATATTGGGATGGTGTATGTGAATGAAAAGTTTGGATATTTAAAGGTAATTAACATTGTGAAAACTATGACTGATAACAATAGTTTGAATATAGAGGGGAAACTAAGCTTAAATAAGAATCTTGAAAACAGGATATATAGTGACTTAATAAGATGACTTTTATGAATATAATTGAAACATAAGCAGATCAGAAAAGATGTTATATGCTGATGTTACTGTTATTTGTACACATAAGAAAAATAGTTATATTCAAACTTGTATATATTGAAAGTATTAAGAACTATATTTGCTTAATGTTGATAAAAGAATATTATTGAAAGAAGAGAAGATCAAAGAAATATATCATTAATTAAAAGATTGATTATGGAATTATAGACATTAATTATTATTGATTGTTTTTTAAATATATGAACCTAGACAACAAGTTGTTTACTAAGCACTAAAGATTGTTATTGTAAAAAATCAATAAAATATATTAAAAAAAGAAAATAGTATAGGGAATAGCAATAAAAATACTAATTATGGCATCACTGCTTTGATCAACTATAGAGTTCCTTGCAACACGTAAATAAAGATAAAAACATCTAGCTTTTTGTGGGATTAATTGCATCTGCCCATGGATATCTCCCACAAGGGCCTGAGATAACTGTTTCAGACACAGGATACATTCATCAGCCTTTTGGACAGACTCTGATAAGAACACCTGCAGTAGCCTTGCATCTGGAGAGTGTCTGTTATTTGATACATTGTAACCACCCCTATATACATCTTTTGATTATGCTGTGTGATGTAAAAACCTTAGTAACAATAAAAGAGGGTGCTGGAGTCAGCTCTGGGCTCTCATCCCGAGATACCTGTCTGCGTGTCTCATTCTCCATGGGAGACCACCACATCTGGTGACCCCGACGTGATCCACTGAAGGATCCGTCCCTGCCAACCCTTTACTTATCGCCTGGAATAGGCTTGGTGCACCCGACGAAGTTGCTGGCAACTGACTCCTCTTCGTAAGTATGGGGGGTGGAATGTCTCACGCTCAAAAGCAGCATGTTGAAGAGCTGAGGCTACTTGGCAGGAAAAAATATCTTACTGATCAGGAACAGAAATTAACCCGTCACCTTTCTAAATCTGAGGCTGTTAAATTGCTTGCTTACGTATGGGCTAACTGCTCATCCTATCCAGAGTCTGGATCTTTAAAAGTAGATACATGGAGGAAAAT